GCAAAGCGCGCGAAGTGAGGTGACGAAGCGATAGCAATAATAAAATGTAAGTGTCTTTTCTTTCGACATTTAAAAAAATTAAAAGTTCTTTTAATTCTTTTAAAAGGGGGCATATGTTGATACCAAAATAAGAATCGGCATAAGTGCCGAATCGGTTTTAATGCCGAATATGGTATGTAATGGAAATCAACCATTTGCCGAAACACGTCTAGACCAAATTCGGAAACATGTTGAAAAGCAAGTGTGAATGGTATCGTGTCCCGAATTCGGTAGTTGATGAAAATGGGTATACTTACCGAAATATGGAGAGTTATAGTTCGGGACATTGGAATATTTATACCTCAGGACAACGATACTTTCCAGAAATTCGGGAGGTTCACGCTTCGAGAATGCACTGAAGAATCACAGTCCAATCACGTAAATCACGACAGCAAGAAGTTACGAGCATAAGTGGGGATAGTGAGCACGAGCATATCATGGGAAGTTACTTGTCCAGATTTGAAATCATCTTAGCGGTTGAGATCAAGTTTTGGCGGACAACAAAACTAAAAAACGTGGTTAGAAAGGCAGTTATTGGAAGCGCCAAAATATTCAAAGTTTGAAAACATGGAAGTAACCGACGAGCAGTTGCAAGACAGGAGGAGATACAAATACTCAGAGGAAACAAAGAAGGAGGACACGACTAACAACAATGCAAAAACACTCAAGCTTATCTGCACTTTAGTTTCCTATGCATCTTTACTTCCTGTATTTACAGCTTCCTGTAACTCTATTTAACTTTCGAGTCATTTACAGCTTTCGTAGGAGTATTGTAACATAGCTTGAAACTCTGTTTAGTCCAAATCCATTTTCAATCCATCAGATTTCTATCCATTCCATACAATCCTATGTTACACTTTACGTTTCACCACAACTCTCCTAGTAGTCAAACCACAGAACCTACCTTAATAAAAACCGAAGATCGAAATTTCAGTGAAGGATATTCCTCGTCGTAAAACGAGCGAACAGGCATCAAGTGGAAAGACGCTCCAGTATCAATTATCCATGCATTGCAGTCATCTTGTGATGAATTGCAAATGAGGTACATGTCTCCCTTACTATTGTCATCATTTTTTTTTGTACTAGAGGATGATGCCTCATCTTGTTTATTTGGACTTACACTTTTGCTTCTGCAATCTTTTTTCAAGTGTCTAGGCTTTTTGCACTTCCAACACGTTATTTCCGATCGATCTATCCTTTTAGATCTTCTTCTGGATTTATTCCTGCCACCAAATCTGAATTTGGATCGTTCACTATTCCTTCCCCTTACGAAAAGAGCCTCTTGCATTGCACTATTAGAACCTGCTCTCCTAATCTCCTAATATAATAGAGCAGCTACAACGCCCTCAAAAGATAATGCACTAATACCAGTGCCAATCGAAATAATTATATGTTCCCATGAATTCGGCAATGAACACAGCAAAATACACACTTTATCTTCCTCATCCAAATTGACATCGATCGATGCAAGTTGCCCACAAATAGTATTAAACTCGTTTAAGTGTGCAGAAAAGAATCACCTTCACTCATCCGCAGGTTATACAGTCGCTTTCGTAGAAAGAGTTTGATCACGAGCGACTTCCTATGATAAAGATTTTCCAGTTTCGTCCAAAGATCCTTCGTCATCTTCTCAAAGGTCACATTCACCAGGACGATATCCGCAAGGCATAGCCAAATTAGGCTTCACATCCTCCGATCACTGCTATTCCACGCCTTCAATTCATCAAACGTGGACTCGACTTCCTTTACCTTCTCCTTGGATTTTTCCTTGAGTTTATCTTCTTCGATCACGTGCCATAGATCTCTATCCATAAGCAAATTCGACTTGATGAACGGTAATCACAAAGGGAGATCTACTTGAGAGAAAAATCCAAGGCAATGCATCAATCATTGAATTGCTCATTGCTCTTTCAAATTTTATTCTGACACGACCTTATACTTAACCAACAAATCCTTTAGAGCATAGAAAGACACTAGAAAAGCCATTCCTCACACAAAAGCTCCAAGCTAGAGCCAGAAAGAAGCATAAAAAACAAATCACCTCAATTTCCGATAATTATCACTCTAAAGGATTTTGAAAAGACAATTTAAGCACAAATATCGGGATTTGCCAAGAGGTACTCTTCAACTGCCTTGAACAATCCCGTAGCCCTGTCTTTACCCTGCTTGATGTCATCTTCCTTGAGTTTTCCACCTTCGTTAACATGATAGTCGCTAGTCATCTTGCAGACGCATCCACCATCAACTGATGTGAACTTCACCTCATAGACAATGAAGTCGATTTTGTCGAACTTGATATCACTTTCAATCAAAGTGTATTTGCAGTAAAAGTTCTCAACATCTAGAGCATCAATCTTGTGCTTCGTGCACTTAATGTGAGCACCTGTTACACGAATTCAACAAAGTGAAAAGATTAATTCTGAGTTTTGTGGTCTATAAATGAACTTGACATGACAGATAAACATTTGTTATCCGACTTACTTTCGCCAAAGTTGGTCTACTTAATATTGCTAACTCCACCATCTCCCTCGATGAACTCGACGCTCTTGATGCCCCCGGGGACAATCTTGGGAATGACATTGTGCGAGTCAAGGACCAAAGCCTTGAACATCCTCGATGGAGCAACGACAGATGTGAGCTCCTGAGAGTAGGTGACGACGCCCATGTTTTCCTTGTAAGAAGCAAAGAGTGATGAACTCAAGTAGGAAATGGAAGGATTTTCTATTGAGGAAGGCTTGAGCTGATGAAGATGATGAAGAGAACCAGTTTGTAGGCAAGTTAGTCGTTTAGCAGTCCGTAAGCATTCAAAATTCAAAGCACTGCGAACTGGGACCAATCAGCCTTGCTTTTTAAGCCTTTCTTGCTTTTTCTAGGGGCAGAGCGACCAGAAATCTAGAACATTACGGAAAATCTCATAGATTATTTAAATTGGCCGATTATTTAAATCTCATAGATTATAATTCTCTGTTCATGTCGGGTTGACCGATTTGGAGGGCGGAGTACTATTTAAATTGGCGAAATTAATAGAGATATCAATTTCACATGCAGATAAAATCTCATAGATTATTTATCATGCCGACAATGTATTCTTCTATATAATATATTGATTACTCAAATATATAATCGTTCAATTCATCATTTAAGATTCTCCAGACATTTAATCATGTATTATCGAGTCACTATACGCATAATTGGCTATATCGACCTAAAAGTTAGGCGGCTATGATATTATTATGCAATAGAAGTTTTCATGTTAAAATGCACTGAGGTACAACTAGAATTCTAAAACTATTAAAATTGACTTTCACTTAATCTAAATCTTGCGGCGCACATAATTTGACTTTTATTTATCCAAAACAGCAAAAACTTTCACAACATATAAATTTGGGAAAATGGCATCACCAGTAGTAAACATTTGTCAATATATACAATCAAGTTCTAAACACTTGAATTTTTGCAATCAAATTCTAAATGTCTTTTATTGGGAGCAATTTGGTCTTTTTTGCCAGGCCGCAGTCAAATTTGATAATATGACATGCCAAAATCCGATGTGGTATTTTTTAAATATTTTTTTCGCATAGTTGGCACTAAAGTGGCACCACATTAGAAAATATATCAAATATTACAAAAAAAAGTTTGAAGAAAAAAATCAAGAAAAAAAGAAAAATAAACAAATAAGCTTTCAAGTAAAATACATTAGAATAATTGTAGGAAGCGTGAGGAAACAAAACCACCCTCAATTTACAATTAAATTACATAAAAAATCAAAATTTATGGATTTTTTTTATGAAGTGACTAGTTTGGATTGAATTATCATCGACTTTTGAATATCTAAATCATCATTTCTATGGACTTTCACTTGAGTGTGGTTGCAATCAAGGGTATTGTTGGGAATGCTTAGTAGAAATTCGATACATTTGTGTGGGAGATCACCATGAGAGAGGCAAAGTCTAAATTCATCAACATATTCAATTGGACCCACGTTCACTCAAAAGCTTAAGTCAATGAGTTATATGTCAATTATGATATATTAACTGTTACAAGCTATACAAATTCTCTGATTTGGGACATTTCTTATATAATTCACACACGCATTTTAACAATCTTCTCCTCACATGCGAGCTCAGTGTTAAGGTCTACTTCTCCTTAATTCATATATCCTTATGAACCAACATGTCTCAATTCAAATCTCCAACACCCACTTTCATTCCAACGGATCAAATCATTAAGGTTAAAATCGAGACTCCGTTATTATATGACAACACCCACCCTCACTACAGGTCTCTTCCATTAGACCACACCATGAAGGCAACCCTCGAACCACATTGGTTAGATTCCTTTCTTGAAATATTCACCAAACACCGATACACTTTGCAAGTGCCACCAATCAACCATTCGCTATGATACCATTTGTTAGGAGTGCGAATAGAAACCCAATACTTTAATCTAGGGAGATCACCAAGAAGTAATTCAACTCCGAGCCTATTAACATATTTAGTTGGACCATACTAATAACCTAATGTGGGCTATGAAGAGGGACAATAGCGTCGTTAACACACCCAAGGACTTATATGTACGAGGATGGTTGGCCCCCAATGGGCATCCAAACCAAGATGCTATAACCAACCATAATCACGTCGGCCTTACATATATCAATTATTCGTCTCCTCAGTCATAGCTAGAGACTTCTTGAAAATCATAAGTGGAAAATTTAGGATATTTGAAGCAACTCTCGTATAAGTCGAGCAGTATTTAACCTTGGTAACGACAAAGGGGTGATCATCTTTTAGGGGAAAATCCAAGCAAGTGCAATCTAATTTAATGGATCGCTCAATTGTCTTTCAAGTTTTATTGTGAAATGACCTTACACAACGTGCTGACCCTTTGGAAACATAAAAGCACATGAAAAACATTCCTCGCAAAAGCTCCAATGGAGCAAGAAAAAGGAAAGAAAAATGCAATCCAATTTTCCACCACTTAGCTCACATCACACAATAGAATTTTGGAAAGGGCCATTTAAGCACAAGCATCAAGGTTTGCCAAAAGGTACTCCTCAACGGTCTTGTATAGCCCCATATCTTTGTCCTTACCCTGCTTGATATCTTCTTTGAGCTCAGCACTATCTTTGGAATGATACTCACCGGTCATCTTGCAAATACATCCACCGTTATCTAACGCAACAAATTTCACCTCATAGACGACAAAATCGATTTTTTCGAACTTGATATGACTTTCGATCAAAGTGAATTTGCAGTAAAAGTTCTCCACATCAAGAGCATCGATCTTGTGCTTGGTGTACTTGATATGGGAACCTATTCCACAAATTCATGAAAGTAGATGGTTTAATTCTAAGTTCTATATACTATAGATCAACTTGACATGGTAAAGCAACGTGGTGATCCCACTTACTTTCGCTGAAGTTAGTTTGCTTAATGCTACCAACTCCACCATCTCCCTCAATGAACTCGACACTCTTGATGCCCCCGGGGACAATCTTGGGAATGACATTGTGTGAGTCAAGGACCAAAGCCTTGAACATCCTCGTTGGAGCAACAGCAGATGTGAACTCTTGAGAGTAGGTGATGACTCCCATTTTGCCTTGTAAGAATCAAAGAGAAATGAACTCGAGAAGGTAGTAGAAGGATTTGGTGTGAATGCTATTGAAGAAGGCTTGAGCTGATGAAGCCGATGAAGAGAAGCACTTGGTATTTATAGGCAAGTTTGTTTGGCGGTCCATAAGCATTCAAAGTTCGAAGCACTCCAAATTGGACTGATCAGCGTTGCTTTAAGCCTTTCTTCCTTTCTCACTGGGGCAGAGCCACCACTAATCTAGAAGATCAATGGAACGGACAAGTTCTCTACAGATGAAACATGAAGGACTATAATTCTTTGTTCGTGTCGGGTTCACCGATATGGTGGGCGCAGTACAATCTAAATTGGTGTATATAAATAGAGATATCAACTTCATAGAAATTATTTACCATGCCGACAATATATTCTTCTATACATTATTACTCCATTTAATATATGTTCAAGTTCAGCATTTAAGATTCTCTGGACATCCAATCATGTTAACTACTACATTCTCAAGTCACTCTTGGAATAATTGGAAATGTCCATATAAAATTCCCCGGCTATGACATTATTTGTCTATTATTGCATTAAAAAGATGTTTCTATGTGATATGCATTGTGGTACAACCAGAATCCAAACTATGGAAACTGATGAAATGCAATCTCCCACATTATAGCATTAAATATTGGGGTGGATGAGAAATGTGAGATTTTAAGGCGTGTCTAGATTGCTTTCACTTAATAAATCTTTGCATTGCACACAATTTGACTTGTTTTTACCCAAAGAAATTTAAATCTTTCGCCACATATAAATGGGAAAATTGCACCAATTGTCCTAAAAGTTGTGCCAAATATGCAACCAAATCCTAAATATTTGAATTATGCAGTGAATTTCTAAATGTTTTTTATCTACATCAGTTTGGTCCTTCTGAAGAGGTCACGATCAGGTTCAATGATATTGCACACAATAATCCGTCATGGTAATTTTTAATACTTGTTAACTACGTGGGGCCACATCAGAAAATATATCAAATATTTAAAAAATAAATACAAAAGAGAAAAAAATTGGAGAAAACAAAAAATTTAAAAAAAACAAACTAAATAAAAGTCAGAGAGGAAAAAATATTCAATGGCTTGCGAGCACCACGTCACTAGCCAACGCGGCAAGCATTTTTCTAAATAAATCACTTATTATTTGACACGTGTCTCAAATAAAAAAAAGTAGTAAAAATCTTATTTTCATTTGTCTTCTTCCTTCATCCAGCCACCTCCCGCTCCTCCATCCAACCACAGTTTGCCCAACCACTTGAGAATCCGGCTCGGCTGTCTCCACCGCACAAGCCACCGCAACCTCCATCCTCAATGCTCACTGCCACGCCGTAACCTCTGCGCCCAGCGCAAGTTTTCTCCCTCTGCCTTTGTTGTCGCACCAACCTCATGCCTCCTGATCTAGCCTGGATGATCCCAACGGAGATTGCGAACTTGACGAAAAAATAGGGGGAATGGCTCGGCTTGACGGAGGCCGCCGTGAGGACTGCGACTTTTGACGGAGCCGACTGCAGAGACTGTGATACAAGACAGAGCCAAAAACTTCCAGATTTGGCTACGACTTTTGACAAAGTCAACCACAAAATCCACGATGTAAAACCACAAACAAAGCCGAACTTCCATATATGTGGCCATGCCTTCAGATTTTGCGACGGTGGCTCATCAATGGCCCCGATTCCTGACGGTGAGGTCAAGATGCCATGGACGAGCCACCATGATGGGCAGCACTACGAAATCAAAATGCCAAAAGAAAAACAACGTAATAGAGGTCATGCTCGGGAAGATGGAGCTTGCCACGAAGACGATAGAGGCGGCGGCAGGCCTAGACATGGTGCCCGTGGCAACAGCCAAGGGAAGTGCGAAGCTCAGGCGAGGCGGTGGCTAAATGGAGGAGAAAGAGAGAGAGAGAAAAAAAGACAGATTTTTTAGTTTTTTTTTTATTTAAGACAAGTCTCAATTGTAAGTGGTTCTATTTAAAAAAAATACATGCTACATCAACTAGTGACATAGCGCTTACAAACCACTGAGGCTGCGTTTGGTCGACCGGATAAAAGCCATGATAGGATATGTTTTATCCTATCCTGTGTTTGGTGGTGGTCCAGGATAGGATAAGGTCGGATATAGACCGGATATAGCCCGGATAAAAAAATCCGAGGGAGGGGGTGGGATAGACCTGGATAGGATTTCTAATACCTACTTTTTCAGAAACCCTACGCTCCACTCGCCGTCATCTTCGTCCCCACACCTTGTGCGCTTTCACCAAAAAAAATTCTCGCCTTTTTTCCCTTCACCGACTCCTCCAGACCTGTGAATAGCAAAAAAAAAAAATTTATCCTATCCGACTTTAAATCCGTAGTCCACCAAACAGTGGATAGGATATGAAGAAATCCCAGGATTTCTTATCCTATCCTATCCAGTCCTATCCTGTTTAGAAATCCGGACAACCAAACGCATTTCAGGATTTCTCGTTAAGGAGAGGGGGCACCTTGGATGAACGTGTAATCCCCACAATGCAGATGAGGTTCGGGATATTTTCAATATTTAAATAATACTACTAATTTTGTCACGAAAATAAAACGTACATTTTATTTATATGTAAATGTACATAAATAAGCATTCGAGTATAAAACATTAAAATAATAGTAAGAAGCAAGCGTGAGGAAACAATACAACCTTCCATGCACAGTTATATTCATAAAAGAAAAATATAAAGTTGATCGATTTCTTTTTTTAAAGGGCTAAAGCCACCCAAAACCCTAAACTATGTCCACTGTGACACATTTACTTTAAACTTTTTTTCTACGATACCAAAATCTCAAACTTGTACTTATGTAACACATTTACCCTCCATCAAAATTATGTCAATGAAAACCGTTAAAAATATGTTTACATGGACACTAGAAAGTAAATAATGTTGATATGACGCCCACGTGATTTAAGTGAAATAAAAACGACGTTGTTTTGGCTGAAAAAGTGTTACGAAACCTTGAGAATTGTTTTGGTGAATGTATTACATAAGTACAAGTTTGAGATTTTTTATGTAACAAGAAAAAGATTATGGTAAATATGTCATTGCAGGCATAGTTCAGAATTTTTGGTGACTTTTACCCTTTTTTTTAATGAGTTGTCCAATGGAATTACAATCGACTTTAAGTCTCCAAACCATCATTCTTGTGGACTCTCTCTTCGTTGCGGTTGTGTTAACACCAAAAAATGCCCGAGTGTTTGGCTGGCAACTAGATCGATAAAAAAGCCTGTTAAGATGGCAATTGTAGCTGATGATTACTAAATACTGGGAGCGTTTAATCAATAATGTAGAAGCGGTTTACAAGAAGACCTGGTCAGTCGATGGAGATGTTGGCGGAAAGTGGCCGAGTGTAGAAACGACGAGTCGGTAAATGAGGTAGGTCAATAAGTGTTGCTAAATAATAGGTGTCACGCACGAAGTGCGAATTTAAGTACCTGGTAACTGTTTATCATCTATTGCAAGTTATAAATAGTCAAAGTGTATCCTTTGTAAATACTACCAATCTATCCAGAATATATGTTTATCTTTTTTTTTTGCACATTTTAATATTTCTAATACCTTTACATTGCTAGCAACAATTGTTCCCAACATTCGTATCTTTAAATTTCTTACCATTTACATTCTTGTCCAAAAATTAACAAAGAACCCTTCAAACCTTTATCGATCAGACTAGTTGGTTTAATTTGAAAGGTATTTCGCCTTTTTTGTTGGTAAATGTTGCAATCACGACCCAAATGGCCCTCTTGTCTAAGAGAATTTCTATGTAAAATCTTGATTAAGTAGTTAAAAGCTTTCTCTCTAGGGTTAAAAGAGTGATTATGGATAAAGAGGCACAATAGCATCATTAACACGCTCGATCTATTAAGAAATGTATTTATGGCTTCTCTTCGAATTAGCCTCAGGACTTATATGCACCAGAATGGTTGGCCCACGATGGGCACCTAAACCAACATGTAATAACAAGCCATAGTCATGTGGGCTTTACAAATATCAATTATTTTTCTCGTTAGTCATGGCTAGAGATTTCTTGAAAATTATGAATGGAAATTTAGGATATTTGAAGCAACTCACGTATAAGTCGAGCGATACTTAACCTTGATTACGACAAAGGGGTGATCACCTTTTAGGGGAAAATCCAAACAAGTGCAATCCATTTAATGGATTGCTCATTTGTCTTTCAAGTTTTATTGCCACCAAACCCTATTCTGAAGCATAGAAATACACAAAAAACATCCCGCACAAAAGCTCAAATTGTGAAAGAAAAAGGCAAAAAAAAATGTCCTACAATTTTCCACCATTTTTAACAACTCATATCGCTCTTTTTGAAAATGCCATTTAAGCGCGAACAACAATGGTACTCACTGATCATCTTGCAGGCACATCCATCGTTATCCAATGTGACAAACTTCACCTCGTAAAAACTTAATCTGATGAGTTATTGGTCAATTTAGATATATTAGCTGTTCCACACAACACCAATTCTCTGATGTAGGACTTCTCTAACATAACTCACACATATATCTTACACAATCTCTCCCTCATGTGTGAGCTCAATGTTAGGTCTGCTCCCCTTATTTCATGTATTCTTCTACACCAACTTATATCCCAGCTTGAATCTTCATCAACATCCTAGTTCATCCCTGGCCTCTTTCTCCAAACCGAACCATGAAGACTGCCATCGGGTCAGCACTTCTACACCACAACTGTCACGCCCCGACCCTCGAGCTCGCAACAATCCCTATTCACTTAGGTCAATTAAATGCGACGTCCCAGGACTCGTCGCCAACCTTTCATTTTATTTTTCAATTATGCATGCGGAAGCGACGACAATCACCCAATCAAAACAACAATCAACAAGGATAGTAATAAAAATCAACAACAGTCGTGCCAAAGCGCCAATTTATTTATTTACTTGATTAACCCCGAGGAAACACATTTACAAGCCCTTCAAGGGCACCTTTCCTCACAACCCTACCAAAAAGATACTGAGCTAGGGGTCAATC